CTTTTCCCCTTCGTTTATATTATAAACCACAGCTATCAAACACAGGAGCCCTCGTGCCCCACTCTCGCCTCTCACTACTCGCCTTCTTCGCGAACCGCGTGACGGCTTTCCTTCCTTCCTTCTTTCGTCCTTCCTTTTTTTCCTTCTTCTTTTTCCCCCCTTTTTAATCTCCCTGAGATAAACGCAAACGAAGAGGCTACTCTTTCTCTTCCCCCCCGTTATCGTCAGCGGACCCATTACCGTTGATATTGTTTTATTGTCGCGAATCGGCTGGGTCCCCGGCCTTCAATCATTCCACAAACAGCGAGAAACGAACGAGCATCTGACTGCGAATTCGATTCTCGGCCAACCAGAGACGACGACTCGCGTGCGAGTGGGCTTGGCTTAGCCAATGACAGACGGCGTACAGTTAGCGCTGAATGCGCGAAACTTGTCCGTTTCGTTTTGTTACGCAGCAGACAAGTCCGCGGAAATAAACAGGGCGACTGTCTGGCGCAGGGGGCGTTCGCTAGCCGCTAGAAAGGGGGCTGGACTTGTACGCTCGCGAGATTTTTGTGGAAGAGGAGAGAGAAATTTGTGTGTGAATCGGAATACGAATCGCCGCCTCCCCCTCTCTCTCTCGTGTCTGATTGAATGCTGGAACTCGGCTCAAACTCAAAACACTGAAAGAGAGATAACCAGAGCGAGGTGGAGACAAAAAAAGAAAAGAAGAAGAAGTGGGAAGACAACAAAAAGTTGGAAGAGTAGGAGATTCGTCGTCGCCACTGATAGCACTTGGTGAAACGTATCTTCCTGATTATGCAGATGTATTCTTCCTAGTGTTCTTCAAGTCGGCAGTGATCATTCTGTGGCACCAGATGCTGTTTAGCTTCAGTCTGGAACTGTTCGGGATTTTTCAAGAACAGGCTTTGATATCATTCTGCACTGTGTGGAGTTAGAGCTCACGGTATTTCTTTTGTGTTTCGCGATCCATCGGCACAGTTAGGCTTGTTTATTAATTATTATCGATGTGCACATGAGTGTTCAGTGAGGAAATAGGATCGTATCTCTTATTCTCTGTGATTCTTTCAGTGATCCGGCGTTCTACCGTTTGGTTGCAGCTGGTGAATTTGTTAATAAACATAAACATTTGATTAGATTTTCTACATTTAAATTAAGACGTTACTTATTGATACTAGATCTAGATCTAGATCTACTTGTTTATTGTTATTTTAATCTGTTTGAAAATAGATTTCATATATCATTACTATGATGTACGTGTACTTGAAATAAACAAAAAACGAGTCCGCCAATCATAGCCAATGCCAATGCCAATGCTAGGGCTCACATTCATTGATCATTCGAGATAGGGATATTTTTGCCTCTGATATTGCCAGTGAAATCAGCTGGACTAGATTCTAGGAAAACATCTGTTCATTCGTGCATGAATCCTTTCGTGTTTTATTGAATTCCAGATAAATAAATCAAAGCAGACTAGATTTGTAAAATCTGTTTTTATCGCTTCATGCGATATATATTTGACATTCGCCTATCACAATGAGGTATTCTATGTGCTTAGCTTAATACTTTGATTCACTTCTCACCGTCATCTTTTCCTCCATCCTAATATCAGTCTCACGCCCCCCTCCCCTTCCTTCCCCCCCCCCCCTCTCTCTCTCTCTCTATCTCCCCACCCCGTCTTTCATGATACCCGAAAGCTCCCAAGGTCCAGTTTTGTACCTGCTTTGTCAAAAGATCTAATTGCTCCCCGCGCTAGGCCTACCTAGTCTGATGCTTGCAGGCCCTCGGGATTAAAGGGGTGGGCGTGGGTCTACCTTCTCGCTGGGCGTTAGTCTACTTCAGGTTCCCCCCCCCCCCTTGTCCTAATCCGGATACATGTAGACAGAGTCAAGAACGTTATGTTTATTTATTTTTTTTTTTTTTGTTTCACGTTAGGTTTAACAAAACTAGATCTAGATCTATATATTGCTGTTTAAATGTAAAAGATAAATCCGACGGATTATTCAAGCTCTACATGGTTGTTACTGTTTGTGAGACTGGGATTTTCGTCTCTACCCTTGCACTTGCATATATCGTGGTAAAAACGAATGATAGACAAACACCGACTAGATTCAACACCCCCCCCCTTTCTCTCTCTCTCTCTCTCTCTCTCTCTCTCTCTCTCTCTCTCTCTCTCTCTCTCT